TATTGTGTGGATGTGGTGGTGTCATGTAGTATTGTGGATTGTGGTGGTGTCATCTGGTATGGATATGGTGGTGTCATCTGGTATTGTTGATGTGGTGGTGTCATCTGGTATTGTTGATGTGGTGGTGTCATCTGCTATTGTGGATGTAGTGGTGTCGTCTGCTGTTGTGGGTGTGGTGTCATCTGGTATTGTGGATGTGTTGGTGTCATTTGGTAATGTGGATGTGGTGGGTGTCATCTGTATTGTGGATGTGGTGGTTCTCATCTGCTTGTTGATGTGGTGGTTATCTGGTATAGTGGATGTGTAGTGTTATCTGGTATTATGGAGATGGTGGTGTCATCTGTACTGTGGAGGCGGAGGTGAGTGGTCTGTGGTCTGTTATGGTAGGTGGTGGTGGCTATGGGTGGATGTGGTGGTGTCATCTGGTATTGTGGATGTGGTGGTGTTATCTGGTATTATGGAGATGGTGGTGCCATCTGTTACCAAAGGACTAGTGTCATCTGGTATTGTGGATGTGGTGGTATCATCTGGTATTGTGGATGTGGTGGTGTGGATGTGGTGGTGTCATCTGGTATTGTGGATGTGGTGGTGTCATCTGGTATTGTGGATGTGGTGGTGTCATCTGGTATTGTGGATGTGGTGGTGTCATCTGCTATTGTGGATGTGATGGTGTCATCTGGTATTGTGGATGGGTGTCTCTGTTGATGGTGTCAATCTGGTATTGTGGAGGTGGTGGTGCCAACTGCTATTATGGATGTGGTGGTGTCATCTGTTACCAAAGGAGTGGTGTCATCTGGTAATGTGGATGTGGTGGTGTCATCTGCTATTGTTGAAATGGTGTCATCTGGTATTGTGGATGTGGTGGTGTCATTTGCTATTGTGGATGTGGTGGTGTCATCTGCTGTTATGGATGTGGTGGTGTCATCTGTTACCAAAAGAGTGGTGTCATCTGCTATTGTGGATGTGGTGGTGTCATCTGGTATTGTGGGTGTGGTGGTTCATCTGGAGATGTGGTGGTGTCATCTGCTATTATGGATGTGGTGGTGTCATCTGTGGTGTCATCTGGTATTGTGGAGGGAGTGGTGTCATCTGCTATTGTTGAGGTGGTGGTGTCATCCGCTATTATTGAGGTGGTGGTGTCATCTGCTATTGTGGATGTGGTGGTGTCATCTGCTATTGTAGATGTGGTGGTGTCATCTGTTACCAAAAGAGTGGTGTCATCTGTTATTGTAGACGTGGTAGTGGCATCTGGTATTATGGATGTGGTGGTGTCATCTGGTATTGTGGGTGTGGAAGTGTCATCTAGTATTGTGGATGTGGTGGTGTAATCTGGTATTGTGGATGTGGTGGTGTGATCTGTATTAGGATATGGTGGTGTCATCTGTTATCGTGGATATGGGTGGTGTCATCTGCTATTGTTGAGGTGGTGGTGTCATCTGTTATTGTGGATGTGGTGGTGTCATCTGCTATTGTAGATGTGGTGTCATCTGCTATTGTAGATGTGGTGGTGTCATCTGTTATTGTTGAGGTAGTGGTGTCATCTGGTATTGTGGATGTGGTGGTGTCATCTGCTATTGTAGATGTGGTGTCATCTGGTATTGTGGATGTAGTGGTGTCATCTGCTATTGTGGATGTGGTGACATATGCTATTGTGGAGATGGTAGTTTCATCTGCTATTGTAGATGTGGTGGTGTCATATGGTATTGTTGGGTAGATCTGTTATTGTGGAGACGGTTGTGTCATCTGTTATTGTGGATGTAGTGGTGTCATCTGGTATTGTGGATGTGGTGGTGTCATCTGGTATTGTGGATGTGGTGGTGTCATCTGGTATTGTGGATGTGGTGGTGTCATCTGGTATTGTGGATGTGGTGGTGTCATCTGTATTGTGGATGTGGTGGTTATTGGTATTGTGAATGGGTGGTGTCATCTAGTATTGTGGATGTGGTGGTGTCATCTGTTATTGTGGATGTTGTGGTGTCATCTGCTATTGTTGAGATGGGGGTGTCATCTGGTATTGTGGATGTGGTAGTGTCATCTGGTATTGTGGATGCAGTGGTGTCATGTATTATTGTTGAGGTGGTGGTGTCATCTGGTATTGTGGAGGTGGTGGTGTCATCATTGTGGAGGCGGTGGTGTCATCTGGTATTGTGGATGTGGTGGTGTCATCTGTTATTGTTGAGGTGGTGGTGTCATCTGCCATTGTGGAGGTGTCATCTGCTATTGTAGATGTGGTGGTGTCATCTGCTATTGTGGAGGGGGTGGTGTCATCTAGTATTGTTGAGGTGGTGGTGTCATCTGCTGTTGTGGATGTGATGGTGTCATCTGGTACTGTGGATGTGGTGGTGTCATCTAATATTGTGGATATGGTGGTGTTATCTGGTATTGTGGATGTGGTGGTGTTATCTGGTATTATGGAGATGGTGGTGTCATCTGCTACTGTGGAGGCGGTGGTGTCATCTGCTATTGTGGAGGTGGTGGTGTCATCTGCTATTGTGGATGTGGTGGTGTCATCCGCTATTGTTGAGGTGGAGGTGTCATCTGTTACAAAAAGAGTGGTGTCATCTGCTATTGTGGATGTGGTGGTGTCATCCGCTATTGTTGAGGTGGAAGTGTCATCTGTATTGTGGATGTGGTGGTGTCATCTGCTATTGTGGATGTGGTGGTGTCATCTGTTACCAAAGGAGTGGTGTCATCTGGTAATGTGGATGTGGTGGTGTCATCTGCTATTGTTGAGGTGGTGGTGTCATCTGCTATTGTGGATGTGGTGGTGTCAGCTGTTACCAAAAGAGTGGTGTCATCTGCTATTGTTGAGGTGGTGGTGTCATCTGCTATTGTGGATGTGGTGGTGTCATCTTTTACCAAAAGAGTGGTGTCAGTTTTCTGGTGTGGTGTCATCTGCTATTGTGGATGTGGTGGTGTCATCTGTTACCAAAAGAGTGGTGTTATTTGCTATTGTGGATGTGGTGGTGTCATCTGGTATTGTTGAGGTGGTGGTGTCATCTGCTATTGTGGATGTGGTGGTGTCATCTGCTATTGTTGAGGTGGTGGTGTCATCTGCTATTGTGGATGTGGTGGTGTCATCTGCTATTGTTGAGGTGGTGGTGTCATCTGGTATTGTGGATGTGGTGGTGTCATCTGGATTGTGGATGGGTGGTTTCATCTGCTATTGTGGATGTGGTGGTGTCATCTGCTATTGTGGATGTGGTGGTGTCATCTACTATTGTGGATGTGGTGATGTCATCTGCTATTATTGAGGTGGTGGTGTTATCCGCTATTGTCGAGGTGGTGGTGTCATCTGCTATTGTGGATGTGGTGGTGTCATCTGCTATTGTGGATGTGGTGGTGTCATCTGTTATTGTAGACGTGGTGGTGTCATCTGTTATCGTAGACGTGGTTGTGTCATCTGTGGTGGTGTCATCTGGTATTGTGGATGTGGTGATGTCATCTGGTATTGTGGATGTGGTGGTGTCATCTGGTATTGTGGATGTGGTGGTGTCATCTGGTATTGTGGATGTGGTGTCATCTGCTGTTGTGGATGTGGTGGTGTCATCTGGTATTGTGGATATGGTGGTGTCATCTGGGTGGATGTGGTGGTCATCTGTATTGTATGGTGTGGATGTGGTGGTGCCATCTGCTATTGTTGAGATGGTGGTGTCATCTGGTATTGTGGATGTGGTAGTGTCATCTGGTGTTGTGGATGCAGTGGTGTCATCTGGTATTGTGGAGGCGGTGGTGTCATCTGGTATTGTGGAGGGAGTGGTTTCGTCTGGTATTGTGGATGTGGTGGTGTCATCTGGTATTGTGGAGGGGTTGGTGCCATCTGGTATTGTTGAGGTGGTGGTGTCATCTAGTATTGTGGAGGTGTCATGTGGTATTGCGGATGTGGTGGTGTTATCTGCTACTGTGGAGGGGCTGGTGTCATCTGTATTGTTGAGGTGGTTGGTGTGCTATTGTGGTGTCATCTGCTATTGTTGAGGTGGTGGTGTCATCTGGTATTGTGGATGTGGTGGTGTCATCTGGTATTGTGGATGTGGTGGTGTCATCTGGTATTGTTGAGGTGGTGGTATATTGTGGATGTGGTGGTGTCATCTTGCTATTGTGGATGTGGTGGTGTCATCTGGTATTGTGGAGGTGCCATCTGCTGTTGTGGAGGGGGTGGTGTCATCTGCTATTGTGGAGGTGTCATCTGGTATTGTTGAGGTGGTGGTGTCATCTGCTATTGTGGAGGTGTCATCTGCTACTTTGGAGACGGTGGTGTCATCTGCTATTGTTATGGTGGTGTGCAGGTAGTGGTGTCATCAGGTGTGGTGTCATCTGGTATTGTGGATGTGGTGGTGTAATCTGCTATTGTGGATGTGGTGGTGTCATCTGGTATTGCGGATGTGGTGTCATCTGGTATTGTGGAGGTGGTGGTGTCATCTGGTATTGTGGATGTGGTGGTGTCATCTGGTATTGTGGTTGTAGTGGTGTTATCTGGTATTGTGGAGGGGATGGTGTTATCTGCTATTTTTGAGGTGGTGGTGTCATCTGCTATTGTGGAGGTGGTGGTGTCATCTGGTATTGTGGAGGTGGTGGTGTCATCTGTTATTGTGGAGGGGATGGTGTCATCTGGTATTCATTGGTTTTGTTGAGTGTGGTGTCATCTGCTATTGTGGAGGTTGTGGTGTCATCTGCTATTGTGGAGGTGTCATCTGCTATTTTTGAGGTGGTGGTGTCATCTGGTATTGTGAAGGTGTCATCTGCTATTGTTGAGGTGGTGGTGTCATCTGCTATTGTGGAGGTGTCATCTGCTACTGTTGAGGTGGTGTTATTTGTTATTGTGGAGGTGGTGGTGTCATCTGCTATTGTAGATGTGGTGGTGTCATCAGCTATTGTTGAGGTGGTGGTGTGATCTGCTATTGTGGAGGTGGTGGTGTCATTTGTTATTGTGGAGGTGGTGGTGTCATCAGCTATTGTTGAGGTGGTGGTGTCATCTGTTATTGTTGAGGTGGTGGTGTCATTGTGGATGGTGGTGTCATCAGCTATTGTTGAGGTGGTGGTGTCATCTGTTATTGTGGAGGTGGTGATGTTATCTGCTATTGTGGTGTCATCTGGAATTGTTGAGGTGGTGTCATCTGGTATTGTGGAGATGGTGGTGCCATCTGGTCTTATGGATGTAGTGGTGTCATCTGGTATTGTGGAGACGATGGTGTCATCTGCTATTGTTGAGGTGGTGGTGTCATCTGGTATTGTGGATGTAGTGGTGTCATCTGTACTGTGGTGGTGTCATCTGCTATTGTGGAGGGGGTGGTGTCATCTGGTATTGTGGATGTAGTGGTGTCATTTGGTACTGTGGAAGAGGTGGTGTCATCTGGTATTGTGGAGGGGATGGTGTCATCTGGTATTGTGGATGTGGCGGTGTCATCTGCTATTGTGGAGGCGGTGGTGTCATCTGCTGTTGTTGAGGTGGTGTCATCTGGTATTGTGGAGGTGGTGGTGTCGTCTGCTATTGTGGAGGGGTTGGTGTCATCTGGTATTGTTGAGGTGGTTGTGTCAACTGCTATTGTGGATGTGGTGGTTTCATCTTCTATTGTGGAGGTGGTGGTGTCATCTGGTATTGTTGAGGTGGTGGTGTCATCTGGTATTATTGAGGTGGTGCCATCTGCTATTGTGGAGGTGCCATCTGCTATTGTGGAGGTGTCATCTGCTACTGTGGAGGCGGTAGTGTCAGCTACTATTGTTGAGGTGGTGGTGTCATCTGCTATTGTGGATGTAGTGGTGTCATCTACTGTTGTGGAGGTGGTGGTGTCATCTAGTATTGTTGAGGTGGTGGTGTCATCTGCTATTGTGGAGGTGGTTGGTTGTGTGGTGTCTATTGTGGATGTAGTGGTGTCATCTGCTATTGTTGAGGTGGTGGTCTCATCTGGTATTGTGGATGTGTCATCTGGTATTGTGGATGTAGTGGTGTCATCTGGTATTGTGGGATGTGTGTGTCATTGTGGATGTGTGTCATCTGATATTGGTGGATGGTGGTGGTGTCATCTGGTATTGTGGATATGGTGGTGTCATCTGGCATTGTGGATGTGTGCATCTCTGGTATTGTGGGATGGTGGTGTCATCTGTTATTGCGGATGTAGTGGTGTCATCTGGTATTGTGGATGTGGTGGTGTCATCTGCTGTTTCGGAGGTGGTGGTGTCATCTACTATTGTGGGTGTGGTGGTGTCATCTGCTATTGTGAATGTGGTGATGGCATCTGCTGTTGTGGAGGTGGTGGTGTCATCTGGTATTGTGGATGTGGTAGTGTCATCTGGTATTGTGGATATGGTGGTGTCATCTGTTATTGCGGATGTAGTGGTGTCATCTGGTATTTTGGATGTGGTGGTGTCATATGCTGTTTCGGAGGTGGTCGTGTCATCTACTATTGTGGGTGTGGTGGTGTCATCTGCTATTGTGAATGTGGTGATGGTGCTCAATGTCATTGGTTGTGTGGTGGTGGTCATCTGTGATGTAGTGTCATCTGGTATTTTGATGTGGGTGTCATCTGCTGTTTAGGTGGGTGTCATCTATTGTGGGTGTGGTGGTGTCATCTGCTATTGTGATGTGGTGATGGCACTGTTGTGGAGGTGGTGTCTGGTTGTGGTGTGTGGATTGTGGAGGGTGGTGTCATTGTGGAGGTGGTGGTGTCATCTGCTGTGAGGTGGTGTGTCATCTGCTGTTTGTGGAGGTGTGGTGTCATCTGCTGTTGTGGAGGTGGTGGTGTCATCTGCTGTTGTGGAGGTGGTGGTGTCATCTGGTATTGTGGATGTGGTGGTGTCATCTGCTGTTGTGGAGGTGGTGGTGATCTGCTGTTGTGGAGGTGTGTGTCATCTGCTGTTGTGGAGGTGGTGGTGTCATCTGCTGTTGTGGAGGTGGTGGTGTCATCTGCTGTTGTGGAGGTGGTGGTGCCATCTGTTATCGTAGACGTGGTGGTGTCATCTATTGTCAAGGAAGTGTTGGTGTCACCTGTTACTGTGGATATGGTAGCGCCATCTGTTCCCAAAGGATTGGTGGTGCCATTCATTACCAGTGAAGTGGTGAGGCCTTCTGTTATTACGATGGTTTCAACTTCTGTTGTGGAAGTTGTAGTAGAAGTGGTGTTGTCCTCTGGTACAGAAGTTGTGGTGTTATATGATTTTGTGGAGAGTGAGGTGTCATCTGAAGAACTGGTGTCATCTAATATTCTGTAGGTTGAGCTATCATCTTTTGTGATGTCATTTATTCCCCCAAGAGTTGTAGTGTCTTCTGCAATTGCAACTTCCTCTGTTGTCATAGAAGTGGTGGTGTCATCTGTTATCATGGAGGCGGTTATATTATCTTTTATCAAAGAAATACTGGTTTCACCAGTTAAAGAGGAGTTTGCAGTGTCATCTGTTACCATGGAAGTGGTAATGTCATCTGTTATTATGGAGGTAGTGGTGTCATCTGCTATTGTAGAAGCAGTGATGCTATCTGTTATAGAAGTGGTGGTATCATTTGTCATC